AAAGGAGCATATTGAAGGAAAGTGTGCCTTGGAGCAGCTACGTATATATGAAGAATGGAGGAAAACCTCCTGTAGGAGAAATGGAAGAGTGAAATGTTTTTGCCAAGGTGAAAAGGCCTAACAGAGTTTTTACTGACGGCACTACAAGAAGCAAGTGGAATCGTTCTCGCCGCCACGTTTGCGACACCTGTGCGCCAGGAATTCAAAAGCGTAGTAGTCCTTCCAGTTTTTCGAAATGTTAATTCTGATCGGTGAGTACAGCATTTGAAGGCTATGTTATACAGGGGGGGGGGCAAAAAAAAAGACATTTTGTCTCCACTTTCAGATGGATTTAAGCACACTTTGCTCAATTGAGACCGAGTGTTCCCAACTTAATATTGAAGAGCACATTCATCATTCTATAAGAAAATCTTCATGTTGGCCACCCACGTGGACGGCAACAGAAGAATTTGCCCTGGAAACATGGTGCACTGGTCGAGCTCAATGGGGTCTTCGAAGGATTCTGTACCATAACGACCTTTACTGGAAAGCTAGTTTCGAGGGGATTTGCACAGTAGTGGGAGCTAACGCCTCTAGAAAACTATCCAACATTAAATCGATTCACGAAATTGCGTAAGAGCTTCAGGCTGAAGCACTTACAGTAGACCTCCTTGAGCCTGACGACGGTGACAGATGACGTCATATTCTGAAGACGGTGAGGGCAGTGAAGGAGAGGCCTGCGTTCACTTATAGAGGACACTTAGGGAATACTCTGCTGAGGAACTCCCGTCAACGACAGCAATCTCTGCGAAGAAAAAAGAGCCGAAGTCCGACATAGGCAAAATGTCTTTTTTTGGCCCCCCCCTGTATATTATTGGGATATAGAATACCGAGGCCAACCTTCGTCAGTGCTGTTTCCGACGAGTCCTTCCGGAAATTCAAAATCAACGGTTGAAAGGATTCCCATTTTTCGGGGCTTGAGTTGTTTTCTCACGACTTTTTCTGACCAGTGCACTCTACATATATCACCTACTTTCAGATTCAAAGGGCAACGATTTTCGTGCCACCCATCCTTGAAACTTGCTCACCTTCATGGTGGACAGCTTCACTCACCTCCAATGTGGCACTCTAAGGCAATACAACCAGAACGCGAGAGGAGTACGAGGCGCAGGCAGGTGATGAGGAAGGCGCCAGCATAAAGTTCTACGGACCGAAAAAAAGAGCTCGTTGAATAGCCGTCTCTGCAAACCTCTACGACCGTCCCATGCCATGCGAATGGCCATACTCTGACTCCTTGCAGAGTCGATCCTAATCGAACGAAGACCGTTCACCCACTTCTGCCTAGTTTGCTTCAATTAGAAACAATTGCACATTCTATAGAAAAAAGGAAAAAAAAACAAACACGATTTTATTCTCAGCCAGAGATCAAGGCTTCGCGTGCTACCTCTCTTCTATAATCGGACACTTTCTCTCTCTCTTCCCTCTGACCACTTTCCCACTTTCCTCACCCTGTGTTTACTACGAATCGTGCACACATGTTGAGATGACTTTACTACCATCTCGTGATAGCCAGGACATATATACTTGTCTGGTATACATGGAATGTATATCCACCGATTAATCTCTCCTGCGCGGCAGAGACAGAACGGCTCGTTCAAAGCCTATTTCTCCGATTCTATAAAGTTTTCCATGGCCTTGTCTTCACCACTGCTCCTCTGGCCCCGTCTGCTTTCATTTCCAATGGGGGCACATTGGATTGTTAAATCCGCCTTTAATGTATGTAGGATGGGGGAACTCGCACCAGCAAGCAACTGTGCAGTGATATGTAGCATAACAGGAGATCATCATGAAACTCATGGAATGGCCACGGAACTGAACCAAAAATGTGAGAATGTGTGTATACATAAATGGTCCCTGAAAATTGTAGGTTAGTAAACTCCTCACTCAAAAGTTGTACTTTCCAACTTGCGTACAACTTTACACCACGATTTTACCATTTTTGGAGAAGATCCCTTCCAAACAGTCTGCTCTAAGTCATGATTGTGATTTGGCCTTTTTCTCTATTGCAGAGAAATTACGTACATTTTTTCCCACACATGAGAGCGACACTAACCTTTACACGGAGTAGGATATTTATTACTAGTTCAAAAATTCTATCTTTTCAGTTGTTAAATGTGACCATCTTGAGCCGCCACCGAACGCAGTCCTTCTGTCGCCTCCTCGGACAAACTATCATCGTGGCGATGTGCTCCTTTTCGGTTGCCTTCCGAATCACATACTCACCGGTGGGGACTTCGTGGTTTGTCAAGCAAATGGCAAATGGACCGATTTTATCACAAAATGTGAGTTCCTCTATTTTTTCTTCAATTAAAGATTTATCAAGATCAACACCTTTTCAGGTGATCCCTTTTGTCGACATCCGGGTGTGCCTGTGCACGGTGCGTCCACATCACCTCCCAAAGACTACTATCTCGTAGGCGAGAAAATCGTCTTCTATTGCCCGTCACATGAATATAAGCTGAATGCTGAAAACGTTCTGACGTGTATTGGCGCCGGCAAATGGTCTCGAAAGGTCCCGCTCTGTGTGCTTGACAAAAGGAACTAGATGTGATATATATTGAGTCATATGTACTTATTATTTTTGTTGTTAAGGGTGATCGATTACACGTATAATAATCCAGAAAGCTTTCATTTGAGTCTATCTTCCGAGTTGTCGATACCCGTTGATAAATCGCGTCCAGCAGTTTGTCCCATTAAAGAATGGGCGAATTCAACTGAGATTTGGACTATCTGCTGCGCGCGTTTGTTGACAAACTGATTTATTCGTTTTGTTTACTTTCATTCTCTTACATCCCATCAGTCACAGTACAGCTGCTCCAATGGGTTTCGTCGAATTAAATGGTGCGTCATAAAAACAAAGCAAATAAGTAACGAAGCCACTGTGAATAGAAAATACCACTTCAATTGAGACCCAGGGAAATATTAGGAAACGTGGCCATGTACTGGCGAGTCGTAATTCAGTCATGTTGAGAGTCCCAACAGCGTAGTCAGGATCTTCATTATGACATCTCTGATGTAGATCTCCCAGTTGATTCTGAAGCTTTTTTTTTGATAAAATGAGCGCTGTTCTAGGTAGCATAGATTGCAGTCCAAATCATTTCGGAAGAAGGTACAATTACCCAAGAAGATGTAAGCCTTCTCATCAGTCTCACAAATTCTGCTAGCAAGCATCAAGGTTCTTTGGAAAACACCTTGTCAATAAAAAGTGACATGATAGTGCTGATGTCGAATCACGCATGAGCTGTAATTCGTGCCACAGATAAGTACGCCTGATGGTCTTGTAGGATCTCTTTTCCTGCGACTGTGTACATATTTGCAGATTCACCGTGCCTATTTCGAGCAATGGCTTCGATGCCATAAGCCCTTCGTTACCATATTTATGACGTACCGTGTGATTGTCCTCACCGGGGAAATCATGATTCTATTCCACCCATAAATCACTGGCTTGAAGCTCATCGTTCACCATAAGAACGAAAAGAACAGAAGAAAATTGCATTTGTTCGGTGAACAATTCGAAAAACCGTAAGGACCGCTACGCGTTTCAATTCCCGCTGGACATCTATCAGGAATGCTGATGACGGAAACGCTTCCGCTTGGTTCACAGTGTGCTGTCGCTACTCTTTTCGGCCTTGTTGCAATAACAATGCAATCGCACACTTCTACTGCATCCTATTCCAGGTGTGAGTTTTGGCGGTGTGTTTTGGTCGATTGTCTTGTTCTATTCTTCAAAATTGAACGCTTCAATCCTTTGACAGCAATGGCGATTTGCACGTAACCGGCTCGGGGACTAAGCCCCTTTTAGCGCGCTCGCATCATGCTCAATATTGTACAAAATTGTCACTAAAAGCAATTTTTTATCGAATTTGTGACCTTAGCGAAATATCAATAACAGTGGTTTCAGGCTTTCATTAATATGCTGCTGGAAAGAGAATTGCAAGTTTGGCAGAGAAACTCGATCTCAAGTATACGAAGTTATACGAGTTCATGTAAACAGTAAATTTTCGACACATTTCGCACTGCCCCCCCCCCCCCTGTCAGAAAGCTAGAAAAAGAGGAAGAACCCTGATTAGTAGTTGGTCTACAGACTGATCACTAAAACTTCAACTCATATGCCGCGGAGCTGAATTCTAAAACTCCATAGAAGCTAACTCTCATTGAACATTTCAGTAAGCCATGATAAACATAAGTATTTTGAAGCTTCTTTTTCAAGCTTTTTTTTTTAACATTGTGATGTTAAAAATGTACTAAATTTGCGAAGAAGAAAATACTGAGATGACACCTACTGTTGGGTCCCACGCAGCGCACAGTGGTACCCTACTGTTGGTGCTATATTCGCGGATAGTTTGCTTCCATTCTCGCGACGTGACATCTGCCCTGTCTAAATGTTTACAACTGACATAATTCATCTCGACGGGGACGAATGGCCAGAGAGCCAGACATTTTTTGGGAATCTCTTTACCATTAGAGGACGCAACTCCGCTGAGGGGACAAAACGTGGTATTTCTGTGTTGTAGAGCATACCCTTGGCGAGTATACAGGGTGGTCCAAAATTATGAGGACCAAGAGATCGTGTCGTAAAAACGCATAGTAGCTTGGTGGAACAAACCTACTTCTTGGGAAGTATTTGTAACTCTTAACGCTCAGTAATTTCAGAAAGAATTGAGATCTGCCACTTCCCCCGTTAATACGAGCCTTCGGATGAGGGGGATGGCGCGTGCGGTGGCACGCAACTAAGGCGTGTCCAAATGTTTCCAGGCCTTCTGCTCTGCCTTCTTCAGGGAATCAAACTTTTGTGTTGCATTTATTTGCGCTTGCATCCAGGGTGTGAATACAGAAATCTAGAGCTATCAGATGGAAGGTTCCATTGTAACAATTCTTCGAAAGCAACGAACTCGAAAAATCGCTTTTTAGAGAATTTTTGCTTTATTCTTGGGTGCTCGGTCCTGTAAGAAGTCCCAAGTAGACTACTCGTGTGGCTTTCTATCCCTACAGATTTGGATTCTTTAGAGTGTCTGGCTGGGTTTTCGCATCAATTTTTTCATATTGGGTGTACGAAAGTCGACAAGGGGAGACCTAGTTTCTGCATCTGATAATTATCCTGGTGGTAACTGTAACTTTCGAGTCCCCGAATTTTCCATCTGTGGTGATTCCAAACTTATTGAAGAGTTGAACTGTTGCTCATAAGGGCTTCTCTGATAGGTTAGACTGCTGCTAGATGTAACGTGCCAGAGCCCCTAGTGAGTTCAATTTGAGGACTGACTTAAAGTGAAGTTTGTTTTCTCACTAGTTTTTAAGAACATCTTGAAATTTGGTTGCATTAGGGAGAAGACATTGTGGCCTTTCATAAAACAGAAAACGAGATGAAAATGTAGCGATACGGAAAAAAGTGGATATAGTTGCGCGCGCACGCGGTCCTCATAATTTTGGACCACCCTGTATACACTCCGTTGCAAAACTATACGACATACCCCAAATTGTGGGTTTCTGAAGTTCGTATAAACATAGCTACAAAAATGGGATTAACACCAATTCGATTGCGGCGACGATCTTCAACCTACAGGCTGAAAGTTAGGTCTTACCCGACATGATACAAACGCGCCGTTACATACTGCTGAGAAGTATGCTGATGATGACGATTATGTGTCGTATACCGTAACCGGTGGTATTAGAGCACATCATCGTGCTCGGCAAACTTTTAAACTTCTCGTACAGATTGAATTTCGTGCCTTATTACCTAGAGGCCAAACAGCTTGTTTGGTGTGTGATATTGCAGGTAGTTTTTCTGGTGAAAAAATGTTCCTCCTAGCGAGCCTAATGGATAGCACTAGTATAAAAATGATTTGGGCAGAAAATCCATCTTCTTATCGAAAAGGAGCCTGATACTGATACTGCAGAACCTACAGTTGGCGTAGCATGATAGATTTGTGGTCTTCACGATTCAACGAATGAACATCACCGACGATCAGTAAAAGCTCTATCATCGCGTGCTACCGTCCACGGCGCAAAATTGTCATCATCGGCATACTTCTCAAGCAGTACAAGGCTGTGTTATCCATGCCGCTAATCCGACTTCTACTTGATTTGAAGCCTACCAATAGATTCACTCGGATGTCCACTTGTAAAATGTTTTGTGGTCAAAATTCAGTGAAAAACCCTATGGGGCGTCGTTGCTGTAGTCTTTGTTCCTAGAATAATCGGTACGATTCCTTGCATCTCCTACAAAGATGCTAGTCGAAGATTACGATCACGGATCACGAGGAGGCACACAAAAATTCGGTTGAAAACATGTCAGATCGGCTCCTCAAGGTGCTATGCAGGGCATGGCGAATCCGTGGCCTGCATATCTACAATACAGTACTAATATGACTGTGGAGTGCTAGGGAAAATTTTACTAAAGTGAAAAAAATTGTCAAAATTTCTGCTATGTCGTATAGTTTTGCAACGGCTATTTTTTCATTTTTTTGACCCTAGATTTCTGGAAGTTTGAGAGAACTGCTTGGAGATTCTCTGTTACAGGTTTCTTTACACGCCGAATCGAATGGCATTACCCATTTTTGTGCTATGTTTTTCGTAACTTCAGAAACCCAAAATTTGGGGTATGTCGTATAGTTTTGCAACGGAGTGTATATAGTAATGCGCTAATGGAGTGAACATAGCGGGGACACTGCAGATGTGTGAGGTATTCCGCTTCTGACACCAACGGTAACGATCAATCCATTTCAAAAATTGTGAAGATTACCTTTCCTACGACTCCCCTGTAGCAATTATGTGTTCTATATTTTTCTGTGTAAGAACCAATTGACACTCATTCGCTGTGTCGCGGCTCTGACTGTGGAGGGTACCAACTCTCATGGGCACAGCGAGACGGGAGAGGTTGTGAAATCTCAGCTTCAAAGGCAGGCTTCGGAATGAAATGAGGGAGATACCCGTTTGAATATGGTGCACTGGGTGCCAAGTGGATCGAAGGTAAAGAAAAAGGCAGGCAGTACCCCTGAAGAAATCCAAAATCAGAACTTTCTCTGTTAGTTGCTTACAACCAGGGTTGGGAAAAGTACGTCTCTGGACGTGTTTATAGCAACTGCTGACTCCATGCCATCAGCCGGTGGCCGTAAAAACTCACCAATGGAATTTGGTGGTTTCTAATTATCTTATTTTTTTGTTTAACTGTGCTTTTTTGTTTGCTTCCCATCTTAAAAATTTTCTCTCACTAGAATGAATGACAACGTTCTCGAAAATGGTCGTAACATAGGCTTTGATGTTGATTTTCGCAATTGAAATCCGCTAAATATTCCCCTACGACCTTCCAAACAACGGCTTAACATCTAGTGTTCCAGGTGGTTGTTTGGAAGGTCACATGGAACAGTGGGCGGGATGAATGGTGTTAGAGCGGCGCCCATGCTCTGTCCTTCCCTCACAATGAAGATCTTTAAGGGCGAGCAGCGCTTTCTCGAACGGTTCCCTGCGTATTGTAGGGACGCATGTATGGACCTACAAAACTGTTCATTTCCACTGAACGGCTCTAATGTATCCAAAAAGTAGGGTATC